ATGTCAACTTTCCTACTCCTCTGATGCTGCCTGGCCTGCTGTGTTCCTCAGCTCCACACTGTTACATCTAAAACATGAGGATTTTCTTTTCCTCTCAGTCTATTGAGAGCCTTTGGAATTCCCTTTGTCAAAAGGAAGGCAGTGGATGTAGAATCTTTAACCAATTTTAAGGTAGAGTAGATAGATTCTTGAGTTCCAAAGACATAAAAGATTATCAGGGGTTTGCAGGAATGAAATCAGATTTTATTGATAGCAGAGCAGGCTTGAAGAGCCAAGTGGCCTACTCTTGTAGCCTTGATATATTCATTTTTTTTGGCTAAGTCAGAGTTGAATCATGTCTTTCAGAAGGATTTCCACTCCGTGGTCAAACTAGTTTTCCCATCATATCTTATCAAGCTCACCACATTAATTACCTAATCCATTCCTATAGCTTCTCTCACATTTGATTCCAGCCCCATATTAACCAGTCCCAGGAAAACTTGACACTCACTGATATCCTGGAATTCACAAGCCTCACTGTGAGCTGCCTTTTTTTTTTTAAAAAAAAAAGCCCATTGTGCACTTGGACAGGTGCTGTCAGTCTGAAGCTGCCTGGCACTATTTCTAATATTTGCCCCAGACATGGTAGACAGGGGTACAATTGGCACCCTTCTGTGCAGGGAGGGACCTGGAGGTTTGTCTGGATAGGGTGGCACAGAGATGAGACTTCTTCTTCCTAAAGGACCAGGAATGGAGGCCACAACATCACACCAGCTTGGTCAGAGGTTGCAACCTAGATTAAAGCAATCTCAGGCATTTGGAGGAATACACATCAATGTTGAAAAAAAAAGGTCAATGACCTTCTCTGCTCTGCCAGTGTAAGGGCCATCATCTTCTCTCAGATATCTCTCTCACTAACACTACTATTGTACCCACCTCCTACAAAGGCTAATTTATTAGTTGGATAAGGATTGGGTAACCAAGAAAAAGCAGAGACTTAAGAAAAATGGTTTGTTTTCTGGTTGACAAGATGTAACTAGTGGGGTGCCACAGGATTTGGTCCTTGGGTTCCAACTATTTACAATCTATATTAAAGATGCTGATGCAGGGATAGAAAGTACTGTTGCTAACTTTGCTAATGATACTAAAATAGGTGGTAAGATAAGTTGCAAGGAAGAAATAAGAAATTTACAAATGGATATGGACAGGTTCGGTAAATGGGCCAAAATCAGGCTGATGAAGTTTTACATGGATAAATGAGAGGTTATCATTTTGGTTGGACAAATAGAAAGGCAACTTATTATTTAAATTGAGAGAAACGTCAGATGTTTCGGTGCAGAGGGATCTGGAAGGTTGAATTGGAGGCAGCTCAGAGGAGGCTCATCAGATCGAGTCCAGAGATGAGGGATTTGTCTTATGAAGAAATTGAGCAGTTTAGAGGCATATTCCCTAGAGTTTAGAAGAATGAGATTTGATTTGATTTATTATTGTCACATGTACCTAAATACAGTGAAAAGTACTGGACAGCATGCTAACCAGACAAATCATACCTTTTGCAAGTATACCAGGATAATTGAACAGAATACTGAATATCGTGTTACAGCTACAGAGAGGATGCAGAGAAAGATCAACTTGTATATATATGACAGGTCTGTTTATAACAGCAGGGAAGCAGCTGTTCTTAAATCTGTTGGCATGTGTTTTCAAGCTTTGCTATCTTCTCCCCAATGGAAGAGGATGCGAGAGAGTATAACTAGAGTGGGAGGGGTCTTCGATTATGCTGGCTGCTTTCCTGAGACAGCAGAAGTGTAGACAGAGTCAACGGAAGGAAGGCTGATTTTCGTGATGGACTGGGTTGCGTTCTTGAGCTATAAGATGCGAAAGGGGATTGACCAAGTAAATGTAGAGAGGATGTTCCCTGTTATTGGGCATTTAGAATGAGAGGTCATTATTTGAGGATAAGGGGTAGCAGACTTAACGCAGAGACGAGGAACAATGACTTCTCTCAAAGGGTCATAAAACTGTGAAATTCACTATCCCAGAGTGTGATGCATGCTGGTACAATGACTAAATTTAAGGAGGATACAGAGATTTTTAATTAGTAACAGCTTGAAGAATTTTGGACAGCAGGCAGGAAAGTGGAGTAGAGTCCAAGTTGAGATCAGCTATGACCATTCTGAACTGCTTACTCCTAGTTCTTATGTAACTTAATTCAGAATTTGAAACATTTATGTGCAAATAGTTTCTATCTTCCTGCAAAGTACTGTATTATGATTGTGGTTCACTAGAACCATAAATATAAAATGAGGCAGGTGGAAGGTAAATTTGAACACTGAATACTTTATTGTGCATCTCTCAGCTCCACAGTCAGTCAGTCTTAGAACTGCCCCTCTAGCTCCTGCCTCAAGGTCACCTTGCCCATTCTAAAAAGGGACAACACATATCAAACTACATACAAAACATATAGGGCCCTGTATATGAAGATATCGAGCTTCCATCACACTGAGCCCAAATGACAGTCCTAAATTGGTTATTCCTGCAATGCTTTGCGATTTCAGGATTATTTATCAAATGTTCAATTGCAGAATCATACCAAATGCTGAACAGAACGTCCCGAGTTCTGCAGTAGCTTAGCAATTAAAATAATCAGTTAACTGGTTCATCAATCAGTTCACTTGCTAACCAATCAGCAACACTCCATATTACAAGAATCACTAATAGATTAGCTTGATTTCTTTTATTATTCCTTCATAGGTAAAGGAGAACCATAACATTAACTGAAGCAGTAATAGTATTTGGATGGAAGATCCAGACATGAATTATATATAGTTTATAATTGGAATAGATTTGATGAAAATAGCTCCAAATTGTGTCTAAAACTATGAGTAATTACCCTTTCTTTGTGTTTCCTGTCCTTATTTTTCTGCTTCCTGGCACAGAATTCTTTGAGCTGTTCATCCATGCCCATCAGCATGTCTTCAAAGGATTCCTGATATGTCGATCTGTGAAAAACAGAAAAAAAATTTGCAATCCATAAAACTCATCAAGTACCAACTGATTGTTTTACATGGCCCAACACTCTGTTCATTTACAAAACTCTGCAGTCCTTCTACATTCTGTCATGGATGGTGACAGAAAATTAAACACTTAACAGGTGGCAGCCACTCCACAAATATCCCCATCCTTAATGATGGGAGAGTCCAGCATATTAGTGTAAAAGACAGGCTGAGCACTTGCGTTATCATGACCATCTCATCCGCTTTCCAAGATGTCCATTATAATGGATGACACACTTCAGTCATTTCAATTAACTCTACACGATAAAGAAATGGTTGAATGAATTGGATTCTGCAAAGGCTATGGGTTCCTCAAAATATTACTGGCAATATTACTGAAGACATGCTCCCAAACCAGCGGTGCCCCTAATCAAGCTGCTCCAGTAGAGTCACAACATTAATCTGCCAGACAATGCGAAAAATTAACCAGGTATGCCCTGTCCAAAAAAAAAAATGCAGGACAAAATCAACTGACAATCACAACCTGATCAGACTACTCTTCAAAGGACCTCTTCTGCACTGTATGATTCTACGAACCTTGTCCCTTTAAATTATATTTATGAACCATGGTATCAATCCAATAAGGGAAGAAGTTTTTCCTGTTCAGCCTAGGCCATTCAGCCCCTTTAACTAACCCTGACATAAACGTTATCAGGTCTGATCATCAAATCTTTTGCCTATTCCCGCTTTTCCCCATATCCTTTGATCTATTTAGCCATAAGAGCTATATCCAACTCCTCCTTGAAATCATACAATACTTTGGCCTCGATTGCACTCTGTGCTAGCGAATTCCACAGTATCACCACTCTCTGGGCGAAGAATTGTTCCTCATCTCAGTCCTAAATGATTTATCTTGTATCATTAAGCTGTGACCCCTGGTTCTAGGATTCCACACCATCAGGAAAATCGCTCCTTCTTTTAGCCTGTCTAATCCTGTTAGAATCTTATAGATTTATAACAGATCTGCTCTCATTCTTCTGAATATCTGTAAATATTGTCTCTAACCGATTACCAATCCTCAGTCAGTGTCACCATTCCAGGACTCAGTTTGATTGACATTTGCTGCACTTTCTCTATAGCAGAATATTCTTCCAGTGATAAGATCAAAACACAATAATCCAGGTGTAGCCTCACCAAAGCCCTGCTTAATTACAGCAAGGTGTCCCTGCCACTACCAAATGCCTTCTTTATGGTCACACATCAGTTGTTGATGATGCAGAGGACACCCAGGTCTCATTGCACATTTCCCCCTCAATTTTACAACTATTCAGATAACAACTTGCCTTCATTTTTGCTACAAAAGTGGATAACCTTACATTTGTTCACATTACATTGCATCTGCCATGCATTTGGCCATTCATTGAACTTGTCCTTAAAGCACTAAAAGGAGGTCTGCAGGGGATATGAGGAAACTTTTGTTTTTCACCCAGAAGGAACTGGGAATTTGCGAATCACTACTTGCAAGGTTGGTAGGCATAGAATCCCTCATAACACTGAAGAATTATTTCAATGCACACTTGCATAAGGAATACAAAGCTATGGGCCAAGTGCCGAAAAAAAATAACTACTTGGTTTCTTCTGATAGCCACAGACTTGAGTGAACAAAGTACCTTTCTCTGTGGTGTCAACTTCTTTGACTACATAAATTTTACTTTCAATACACAGACAGGAGAATTTGTGGTATGACTTCAGAGACACAGCAAACTGGCTGACTCTTAAATGCCCTCTGACATGACCTAGAAACCCACTTGGTAGTATCAAACAGTTTCAGAAAATCTAAAAGAATATAATGCACAGGCCAACTGACACTGACTTTGGTACCAGAAACCATAAAAGGTACACGTTGTAAAGTTCTCCCAGACATCTAGAGACTACTACTTGATATCATATGATATGATGCTCATGTACCCAGTAGCAACCACTGGTGGCTTGTGGGTCCTTTAGGAGAGTCCATGAGGTTGTTCATTAGTCTTTGGTGGAGAAAGGACAACAAGCAAGTACAATCTGCTCAAGGGAAAAATGGGATGGTCTTCAACTGAATAATACAGAGATCAATTCTTCGTGATCTGCATTACTAGTAAGTGGGGTGGGGGCAAGGGATCAAATTTCGGAAGATGTACTATATCAAAGAGTAAACACAAGGCAAAAGAGAAAAGTACTAATACAGAAAATGATAAACATACTATAACGGGAAAGGTTGCAGAGCACAAACCTAAGTGTATATCAACAGATAAAGTTAGAAGTCACAAAAAGAATAGAAGGATAAACCTAAAGATTCTGTATGTGACACATGTAGCATTCATAATGAAACAGATGAATTGAGAGTACAAATAGAACTAAGTATGATCCGACAGCTGTTAGAGACATGGGGAACTGAATCCTGAAGAGGACAGAACTTCAGAAAGGAAAGAGGCCAGTAAAAAAAGGTAGAGGGTGGTTCTGTTAATTAATGATGATACACATACAATAGAAGGGGAAGACCCAAGTCCCAAGTTCAGAAAACTGAGTTGGAAACAGTTTGAAAAAAGAGAAGAAATGTTAAGGCACGAAGTCACTTGTGTGAGTGGTAAAGATCCAGAAAAAAAACCAGACAGTGGGGCTTATGGCAAACAAATAACAGGACCTTGTCAGAAAGGGAGGGCAATAGTCAGGGCGGATTTTAGTTTTCATATGGATGTGGCCGAGATCAAGAGTTCAAAAGTGATTTCAAAATTGTTTTAGAACAGTACGTTCTGGAATTAAGGAGGGAGCAGTGTACACTAGACTTGATATTGTACATCAAACAGGTTTATTAAATATTAAAAATGTGCCCAGAGGATACTAAACATAATTAAATTTTAAATTCAGTTTGAAGGAGAGAAAGGAGTGGGTTTGAGCTTTTTTCTTAGAAATAAAAATACAATATGGGCATGAACACAGAGCCAGTTAAAGTGATTTGGCACATTAGGTTGAAGGATGGGTCAACTTAAACACAGTTGACATAGAACATGGAACAGTAAAGCACAGGAATGGGCTCTTCAGCCCATGATGTTGTGCTGAACAGGACACCAAATTAAACTAATGCCTTCTGGTTGTCCTTGGACCATGTCCCTCCATTCCTTGCCTTTTCATGTGCTTATCTAAAAGTCCCTTAAACATCCCTATCATATATGCCTCCACCACTACTCCTGACATTACTCTAGACTCCTACTCCCTTGTGTGAAAAACTTTCCCCCTCTAACCTTACATGCATGCCCCCAGAATTAGACATTTCAACTCTGGGAAAAAGATTCTGGCTGTCAATCCTATCTATGCATCTCATAATTTTATAGACTTCTATCAAGTCTCCCCTCAATCTCCACCACTCAAGAGAAAACAATCCGAGTTTTTCTAGCCCTTCCTTAGAGCCTATACCCTCTAATCCAGGCAGGATCCTGGTAAACCTCTTCTGCACTCTCTCCAAAGCCACCACATCCTTCTTGTAAAGTGGTGACCAGAACTGATTGCAATACTCCAAGTGTGGCCTAACCAAAGTCTAAGAAAGCTGCAACATGACTTTCTAACTCTTGTACTCAATTTCCTGACCAATAAAGGCAACCATGCCATTTGCCTTCTTTACCTCCCTATCGACTTTTTCAGGGAACTATGGACTTGAACCCCAAGATCCCTCCGTATATCACTGCTGTTCAGTCTCCTTCCATTCACTATACTTTTTCTTACCATGTGATCTCCCAAAGGGCAGCACCTCACACTTACCTAGTTAAACTCAATCTGCAATTTCTCCGTTCATATCTGCAATGGATCTATATCTCACTATATCCTTTGACAACCTTCTACACTATCCACAACCCCACCGAGTTATGCCAGGCAGGACGATCTCAGAGAACCTCACACTCCTCTGGAATACAATCGCCTAAATGCAGCACAGCAGCTGGGAGTAAAAAGGATATTCCCAATCAGATCTGGAATCACACAGGCTGCCTGCTGTCTCCTGCTTTGTAAGTGTGTCTTGTTTAGAGCCTTAGGCCATCAGGAAGGATCGAAGTTTGAGAAGGGTGACTATTCCAGACAGTGGAAGCCTGCAACTCAAAGCCTCATGTACATGGATGAGGTTGCAGTTTTCTGTTCAGATCACGTGTCTGTGTAGAGACTTAAGTACTGCAAGGAGTTCGAACTGGCCTTGGGTGCAAAGGTAATTCGAGGCAAGAGGAAGGCAATGTTCTTTGGGAACTGAACCAACCAATCCTTTATACTCTTCACCATTAGGACAGATTAACTGAAGATGCTGTGGTACACAGTCAGTTCTGCGGTAATAGGTGCTCCGGCAATGCAAATTGGCTGTGTGATTGACGAAAAGGGGAATGCTACTTCTAAAACGTGACCTTGTGTTGGCTAAAATGCAATTCCATCGGTGCATGGAGGAGTACACGTCAACATCAAATGATTGTTTCACAGGCTCTGTCCTAAGCATATGCAATGAACCACAGCCATCCACTTCTGGATTAACTACATTTCACCCTAACCCTGCAACCACAACTGCACTTGAAGGTGGTGGTGGTGACGATGACGATGACAACGACGACCCTTAGCTCCTGTATTAACAACAGAGCAACCTCAAAACCTCTTCCCCCATCAAATCATCTTGACATTTTTTCATGGTAAGGTGTTAAATTTACTTTTATTTCATTATTAGATATGAATTAAACATTTATTCAAACTGTGCTATCCTTTGTGTTAGGCTTTTGAGTGATTTTTTTGGTGGCCTGCTCCAACCCCACTTTTCCCATAGGCCCTGTTATTTCTATAGTGCGATTTTTTATGATGTGATGTTGCGCAGGAATGTAGCCATCGCATTATAGCAGAACCGAAAGTACATGGTTCGGAGGGGCTGGGGAGTGCACCAAAACTAGGGAGGGACGGATTGCCAAGGTGAGGTGGAAACTGGCAGATAGGAGTACTGCTCCCTCTGTACACTGGGGTAAGAACCTGGTCATCAGGTATGAAGTCCTCTTGGTGTTGTGTTTTTGGTGCAGCTCTGGCCAATTTCCCAAACCTGAGCGGTCTTTCACCTCATTTGGAGGTCGAAGATGGACCGGGATGAAGGGATACCATGCATAAAGTGCTGGAGGCAGGGGTGTGTGGAAATATACCGACTGTCACCCTCATCCTGATGGTCACCTTCGCCTGTGTCTGTATCAAGCTCTGCATAGACCCTCACTACATAATAACCAAGTGCCAGTACTTACTGAGGTTCCACCTGTCCCTGGTGTTATGAAGGATTGATTTGACCGCTTTGCCATGGAACAGTCCAAGCAGTTGGACAGTTCCATATCACCTGTCCCTCTTTGAAAAATTTGTGAAAGAAAACATCTTTGACCACAAGTCCATCAGGCAATTGTCAGCAAATACCATCCTCAAGACCCTTCAAGAAAAGGAGTTGATCATGTCGGGTGGTTGCTTGAGCAGACTGTCAAGGCCAGAACATTTCAACAAGCACCAAGACATTGTTGGCTTATGGTGAGAAGGGAAATCCTTAATACATGCCCGAACTCTCTACACCACTGGGGTTGAGCGAGATGGTCACACATCTCCTTCTGGAACGTGCTTTTGCAAAGGAAGTCTGGAGAAAGATGCAATGGCTCTTGTAGAGGTTCGCCCGATCAGCTCAGTGAAGCACGACTCTCTGCTCCACTGTCTGTTCCCTGGGACGCACACCGACACAAACATTGATGGTCTTCCAGTCACAATCAACTCAGTAAAGAACACTAAATCACCTAAGTAACCTGCTCACCTCTTCTCTCTTCCTGCCCCTCCACTCCACTATCGTCTTCAGCATAAATACCATCTTGTCTTAGCTACTATCAGTTCTGATGAAGTGTCACCGGATTCAAAACGTTAACTGTTTTCTCCCTGCAGATGCTGCCAGACATGCTGAGTTTTTCCAGCAATTTTGGTTTTTCGTTCAGATCTCCAGCATCCGCAGTTTTGTTTTATTTTAAAGCATTTGAGCAGATAGTTCAGAGCTGACAGGAACAAAATGGGGTGAACAACCTATTTACGATGTTAATTTGATTTTAAAAGCCATCTTATTAACTCTTTTAAAATATATTAAATAATGATTTACTTTACCTCTTCAATAGGCTTTCTTTCACTTTCTTTTCTGTAGTATCATAGCTCTCCTGTAACCAATAAGCTATATTGTTAACATCATATAGAGATTGAGGCATTATAAAACTCCAAGAAAATGGATCTTCAAAATCTAAAATACTTAAAGTATGAAGCAGCAGAGGAGTGAGAGGGACTGCAAAGGACATGATGGTGGCAGGTGGGGAAGGAGACAGGGCAAAGTGGATGGGGAAAGAGAGGAATGGCAAAGTCAAGGGGATAAGAGCAGCAATAAACCTTTAATTGAAGCCACAGTGTAAGTTATGAACATTATGGTTGCAATGATCACTGTCAATTTGATTTTATCATAAAAACTTTTCAGTTTTAAAAGATGCATCAGGGTTTGCAAATTGCAAAGAAGGAGATTAAAAAGGTGTGGATGCGCACTGCCAAATGAGGCCAGATGGACTGAGCTCAGGATGAAAAGTGTCCTATAGACAGCCAAATAGTGGGAGAAAGTTCAAGAAACAACTATATAGGCAAGTTTCCGGAGTGCAAAAACAATATTTGGGGTTTTAACTACCTGAATATCAACTGGTACAAAACAGTGTGAAAGATACAGACCTGACAAAATTCTTAAACAATATTCAAGGGAACATTTTTTAGCCAGCATATAATCACTCAGTAAATTACAATGCAATTCCAGACATAGTCTTAGGAAATGAAATAAAGCAGGCATAAGTAGTAGTAGTAGGTCACCATTCGAGATGGTTATCGTAATACAGGCAGATTTAGCATCATTATGGAAAAAGACAAAAGATAGAGCAAGAGGCAGATTTCATTTAAAAAAAAGCTAATCTGGCAAAAGTGTACTTGATATAGCTATTTCAAAGAAGGTCAGTGGCAAATCACTGGAAGGCATACAAAAATGAGATTCTGTGTAGATGTAACCCCAGAAGTAAAAAAAAAAGTGGTACTGCCAAATATAGAGCCCCTGGTTATTCAGCATTATATAGGGCAAAATAAAGCAGAAAAGAGAGACCTTATAACAATCTTAAAAAAGCAGAATACTTTAGGAAGGTTTGAGGGCATAGAACGTATGGGGTAAAGAAAGAAAGGAAATTAAGAAAGCAAAGGAGCATTCACAGTTCAACCATTAAGCTAACTTTTAATCCCAGCTTTTAAAATTGTATCAAAATTTCACGATTTGCCTTGACCATGTCCCCTGTCACATTATCTTGAGGTTCTGGATTGCTAATCTATTAACATTAACACTGGCAGCACAGGCTGCCAGGAATGACCAGCTTGAAGGTGGATAAATCGCAAGGACCGGAGGAACTGTATAGCAGACAACTAAAAGGAAGCCAGGAAGAAAATAGCAGATCCTTTATTCATTCAGGGGATGAGGGCATCGCTGGCTAGACCAGCATTTATTGCCCATTCAGAGGGCAATTATGAGTCAACCACATTGTTGTGGGCATAGAGTCACATGTCAGCCAGACCAGGTAAGGATGGCAGTTTCCTTCCCCAAACGACATTAGTGAACCAGATGGGCTTTTCCAACAATCAGCAATGGACTCCCGGTCATCATTAGACTCTTAATTACAGATATTTATTGCATACAAATTCCACCATCCGCCCTGGCAGGATTTGAACCCAGGTCCTCAGAACATTACCTGGGTCTTTGGATTAACAGTCTAGCAATAATACCAGTAGGCCATTGCTGTGGATCATTTTCCAATCCTCAATAAATATAGGGGAGGTACCAGAAGACTGGAGGTCTGTGAACATTGTACCATTACTCAAAAGTGGTACAACAAATAGGCCATATAATTAGAGGCTGATCAGTTTAACCTCGATCATGGACAAATTACTAGAATTAATGGTAAGATAAGACGTACTGTTTGTTATTATTAATCCATATCTTCCAAAGGATAGTCAGCTTGCTTTTGTTAAAGGAAGATCATTTTCTAACTTCAAATTATGATAGTTTTGAGGACGATTGGCGAAGTTTGTGCAACGGAGGTTGTCTACAAGATTCCACATGGATGTCTAGTCAGATGGAAGCAGAAAGGACACAAAGGAATGTGGCATGTTGGATCCAAAATTGGCTTAATAATAGGAAACAAAGTCATTATTTATGCAAGACTTTCAATTTGCAAAGTGGCTTGCAGTGGTGATACACAGGATGAAGCAGTAACAAGTCCTTTGTTGACTGTGGTATACATTGATGATTTAGGCTTGAACGTTGCAGACATGATTAATAAATATGTTGACAACTCAAAAGTTGGCTGTATCGTTTGAATCCATCTGTAATTTGCATGATCATATTAATGGTTTGGTTGATTAGGGCCAAAAAGTGGCAAATGGAATTCAATCCTAAGAAGTGGATTTCAAGCAGCCAAAAAGTAATACACAATAAATGGGAGGATACGGAGACGGGTTGAAGTAGTGAGAGACCTTTGGAATGATCGTTCACAGGTCAATATGATGGCAAGGCAGCACACGGGATGATCTACTTCATTGGATGCAATGTAATACAGAAGCAGCATTGTAATGGTGGAACTATCCAAGACACTGGTTAGGCCACAACTGGTCTGGTTACCATATTATAGGACTGACATTATTACTCCAAAAGGGAGAGAAAAAAAAAGGATTTAAAAGAACGTTGTCAGGGCTTAAACTGCAGCTAATCAAAGACTGCTTTCCTTAGGAGGGCAACTTAACTGATGCATATAAAACAATGAGGGGGCTGGAAGAGAGTGTATGGGGCTGACCTGTTTCTTCAGAGTCAATTTCCCAGGGACACAGATTTAAGACAATTGATAGGAAGATTAGAGAGGACATAGGGAAAAGCTTTTCCACTCAGAGGGAGGTGGATGTCTGAAATTCAGAAGCAGAAATCCACAATTCCTTAAAAGGAATCTGGATCTGCACCTGAACAGAACTATAACTTGCAAAGTCACAGACTATGTGCTAGTAAACAGGATTACAATGGTGGCTATGGTGGATGGTTTTTGTTTCTGTGCTTTCACTTTTCTATGGTTCTAAAGTGTCTCAAATATCATTATTTACTTGAAGTGCAATTGCTGTGTTGGAGACAAAATGCAACCGCTCAGCTTTGAGCCCACTGGTAGCTCTAGAAATTTTATATATGTTGATAGGTTTTTGTGCACAAGCATGTCTGTTTTTGTTTAAAGAAATAACTAACAATCAGTTGCTATCTTATGCCTGTTACCTCAAGCCAATTTAAATACTGTGGTATCTTGAAATTCATGGTTGCTTTGCATCATGGCTTTAGGTTTAATACAATGGTGAGATTTGCTGAGGATATTGTTGAATTCTTCTAATTCTGCTGGTATACAGTCTAAGTATCCAGTATGTCAACACAAATACAGACTGCACTACTACCACCATCACCTAATAAATGAGAATGAAAAAGAAAATTGAAAACCAAGAGAAATCCTCAAGAGGAGCCATAAGTTCATAAGATGTCACAGCAGAAGTAAGCCACTCAAGCACATGGAGTCTGCTCCACCACTGATCTGATAATCCTTAATATTGTCTCACAACCTTTGATTCCCTTACTGATTAAAAATTAGCATATCTCGATCTTTAGCGAACTTGACGACCTAGTCTTGTAGACTGTCTGGAGTAAAGACTTCCACAAATTCACTACTTAGGCATAAAAATTCCTCATTTTTGTCATAAATGGGCCATCCCTTGCGCAGATTATGCCACCTGGTCCTAGATTCCTCCCAATGTGGGACACAATCTCTCCATATCTAAACTGTCAAGCCCACAAAGAATCCAATATGTTTCCATAAGATCACCCATCATTCGTCTAAACTCCATTAAGTACATGCCCAATGAACTCAATCTCTCCTCATAAGAAAATCCTTCTAATCCCAAGGTCAATTTCTCTGGACTGCCTCCAATGCCAATAAATCTTTACTTAGATAAGGGCAACCAAAAACTGTTCACAGCATTCTACCTATGGTTTGACTAATGCCTTGTCTAGTTTGAGTGAGACCTCCTTATTTTCATGCTCCATTACCTTTGAAATAAAAGGGCAAAAAGTCCATTTGCCTTCCCTAATACTTACTGAACATGTATATTGACTTCAAAAACAAATGCTGCTGGAAAAGCTCAGCAGGTCTGGCAGCATCTGTTTTCTCCTCCACAGAGTTAGCGTTTTGGGTCCGGTGACCCTTCCTCAGAACTGATGGTGGCTGGGAAAACATCAGTTTGCCCATAGCCTATACATAGACTGTTACCACATAGCCTGCCACTACACACCCTCTGTTGTTAGTCACTGACAGTCCCCATTAACAACTATTCACCCTCCCAGCCTGATCGTTAGCAACTCCTTTGTCTATCCAACTGTTTTTCTCTCTTTTTGGGCTCTATCCTATTGTTTACTCCCTACCCCACCCACCTCCCTATTTTCTGCATATAAACTGACGTTTTCCCAGCCAGCATCAGTTCTGAGGAAGGGTCACCAGACCCGAAACGTTAACTCTGTTTTCTCCTCTACAGATGCTGCCAGACCTGCTGAGCATTTCTGAAACTTTGTTTTTGTTCCTGATTTACAGCATCCACAGTTTTTATGTATATCGGCTTTTTGAGATTTATGCATGAGGGCCCCCAAATCCATCTGAAGTCTTCCTCCATTTAAAAAATTCTCCCTGCCAAAATGCTTTATATTTTCCTCACATGACATTCTATCTGCCAAATTTTACCCACTCAATCCGTCAACATTCCTCTGTAGACTATCATCTTCCCCATTTGTCTTCCCACCTACTTTATGTCATCCACAAACTGGGATATGGTTCCTTCACTTCCATCACCCAAGGCATGAAATCCTCCAGGCGTGTGGGTGTGTAATACAATTTTGACCCCTATACTATAAACTATTTGATGAAATGTATTGTTATTCTTTGATCCTAAAACAAGCAGACTAGCTGACAAAGTTGTCTTACATTTCCTCCACTAGAAAAACTTGCTATAAAAATTGCACATGAACCACTCAAAAACAAAAACCCTTTTATCCTGAGTTTGATTCAAACAACATTTCCAGGGCTCTCCTAATTACTCCCGATCAAGAAAAGCACCATAAACTATGTTACACAGTTATAAGATCTCAGGTTTGATCTGCAATGTATACAGAATTGGCTGATCTCAGGCAGCTGGGTATGTAATGACGACTTCAGTGTCACTAAAGTAGAAATTTGGATAGCAATAGAAAAATCAAAACAAAAGACAGCTTTGGATACCACAAGAGGAATTTCAAAAACAGGTTATGTAAAGTGGGAAGGCAGGCAGCATCATAAAACTGCATACCTACAAGCAGCAGACCTGTCAGGAAACAAGAGGACGACATTGGGAAACTGGAACAATAAACGCCTACAAAATCTAATTTCATTAGCAATTTACCTTTTGTTCGATTTTTACTTCTCTGTTGATTTGCATCTCTGAGGAGTCTTCCTTGTGCTTTTTTATCAGGTTTTTTTCTACCAGATTATTCTTGCGTTTCCTGTAAATGTATTTTTTTTAAAAAAGAAAGAATGAGAAAGGAGAATATACAAATCACGGTTTCATCATCCACAACCAAACAAAAAGTTTCGGTCATTGTACAATTAGACTGCCAAGTTCAAGAAAGGTCACTGGACCTGAAACGTTAACTCTGCTTTCTCTCTACAGATGCTGCTAGACCTGTTAAGTTTTCCTTGCAATTTCTGGTTTTGTTTTTGATTTCCATCGGCAGTTCATTGGGATTTTTTTGTCGATTAAGTTCTTCTGTGTTAACATCATTACATATTCCATTCATTTGTTACCTGTTACTTGGTTCTTTCTCACTCTTGAGCCAAGGTGGTGAATCATGTTTTGAGCTTTTGTTTTTCTCATCATTGTTTTTTTCCTCCTTGCTGTCCTTTTTAGATTTTGAGACATTTTTCTCCTTCTCCTCATTCTTTGAAATGGCAATGTTCAGGCCTGAAATCAAAGGATTAAAATTGATGAAGGCTAAGTAAGCATGCACTGTACGCAAGCGCAAAACCTTACAGTTGCTGGAAATTCTGGCACAGGTGACCAGGCAATAACTCCAAATATTTCAAAATAGACTGTGCTCAAAAGAGGTTGAATCTAATACATTGCACATGTACCCCACCACGAAAATTAAGCTTATTTAACTCTTCGGCTTTCCAAACAAATTGGTATAAGTTGATAGGGTTGTAAAGAAGGCATATGGCGTGTTGGCTTTTATTGGCAGGGGAATCGAGTTTAAGAGCCGTGAGGTTATGCTGCAGTTCTATAAAACTCCAATTAGACCACACTTGGAATAGTGTGTTCAGTTTTAGTCACCTCATTATAGGAAAGATGTGGAAGCTTTAGAGAGGGTGCAGAGGAGATTTACCAGGATGCTGCCTGGACTGGAGGGCAGATCTTATGAAGAAAGGTTGAGGGAGCTAGGGCTTTTTTCATTGGAGTGAAGAAGGACGAGAGGTGACTTGATAGAAGTTTACATGATGATGAGAGGCATAGATAGAGTGGATAGCCAGAGACTTTTTCCCAGGGCAGAAATGACTATTACGAGGGGGCATAATTTTAAGGTGATTGGAGGAAGGTATAGGGGAGATGTCAGAGGTAGGTTCTTCACACACACACACACACACACACACACACACACACACACACACACACACACACACACACGTGGGCGTGTGGAATGCGCTGCCGGCAGTGGTAGTGGTAGTGGAGTCAGATACTTTAGAGACTTTTAAGGGACTCTTGGATAGGCACATGGAGGATAGTAAAATGTAGGGTTTGCAGGGTAGATTGATCTTAGTAGGATAATAGGTCAGCACAACATCATGGGCTGAAGGGCCTGTACTATGCTGTACTGTTCAATGTTCTTAAGATAGTCAATAGAGAAGCATTGAAAATTTCTTCACAGAAAATAGCGTAAAGTAAAGGGATAACCAGAAGCTTGTTGAGAAGAGACAAGTCTAAAGAGGGATCTTAAAAGAATTCTTAAAAGGAGAAAGATGTGAGGTGGAGGAGCTTAGGAATGAGATTGGACCTATTTGACTGAAATCATAGTGACAATATTGGAGGGAAAAGAGACATTATGGTATATTTTAGAGGCCAGAGACAAAAATATTAAAAAAAAAGGAGAGAAACAATTGTGTATCTGTAGTGACTCTTTTTCTGAACTGCTTCCAATATCAATACAAGTGTTCCGTAAGAGAACAAAACCATACGCATCTCAACAGTCCCTGCAAGTTGGAGCTGTCATGTTCCTTCTCCAAAAAAAAAAATCAACATTCCATTACCTGCTAATTACTTGCCACACGCCATGCAATTTTTTTTGCTTAATCTACAAGGATATGCAAATCCCTCTGTTACAATATTTTGATTTTCTACATTCCTGCTACTCCCTCCTTAAGGAATTCTACCATTTTCCCCAATGACAAACATCAAATGAACGGGCTATACTTATCAGCCTACAACCTCCTTCCTTACTTGAATAGTGGTATTACATTTGTGGCTTTCCAGCACTTAGGGACTTTTGAAATTTACAACATGCATCTACTATGTGTGCACTAGGATGAAGGCCATCAGTGCAGGCAACTTAATCAGCCTTTGTCTAATTAGTTTTCTTAGTACCTGCTCTCTGATAGTAGTTCTAAGCTTTTTTTAAAAAAAAAAACTTGTTGTTCATGAGGATAACGGTTTAAAACAAAACAACTGATTTTGAAATTCCATTATCATCGATTTCATTATCTGGGACATCAAATAGCTTGAAATAGTCTTTTAAAAGAAAAGAAACTATACTACTTAAAATGACCACAGCAAGTAGCCTCTATATCGCTCCCACCAGTAATCACTTTCCTTTGATATTTTTTATTTCATCCAAACTGGTTTGATTTTGATACTTCGTACAAAGATAATTATCCACAACTATATCAGATTGACCTTTTTTTGACAAAGCTATCTTATCTTCTTTTCTTTTCTCCCTGTCCTTCCCAAACAAAAAATTCAACCTTGCTATATAAAGTGCTTTTGAAGTGTCATCACTGTTGTAATTAGTTGGTGCATAGCAAGGTTCCACAAGCAGCAATGTGATGAACAACCAGTTAAAATAAACTATATGTGACATTGGCTATGGAATAAGTTAAAATTGGCCAAATTATCTTGGGAAAACTCCTTTTAAGTAGAAGTGTAAGATCTTGTATCAATATGGCCTCATTAATGCCCCTAATATTTAGGGTTGCACCATTTTTATTTTGTTCACTTCTACAACAGAGGTAGACACAGCTTTGATTTAGCACTTTAAAAATGAACATGTGCTAATTTTAGCTAGAAGTCACAACACCAGGTTACAGTCCTGCAGACTTATTTGCAATCGTAAGCTTTTGGATGCCTGCTCCTTTGTCAGGCACAGAATTTATAGGCAGAGTGATCACTGCAAGATAATTCTACGTAATTAAGAGCATCAAAAGATAGTACAAATAGTGTGAGTGGATTGTTGACAGGCTGAACAACAAGGCTTTGCAGGTGGTCAAAAGTGTCAACAGCTGAACAGCAAGTGAAGGGATGATCTGTGATCTGATTAATTAAGGCACAGAGATAATTACAAAAAAAACATCAAAAATAAGATGGTGCTAGAGGCAAACCAAATGGCTGGAACAACAATGATAGGTATAAGAGTCACATGATGACGGTATAACCAAAGTAACAGGTAATCCAAAGTTGTACAAACTAATTTAAAGGTAAAGGTAGAGAGATCATAACAAGTTAAAGGTGATGGTGTCAAAACAGAACAGCAAGGAAGATTTTACAAACAGAGAACTGTATGATGGGGTTACATGTAGCATGACATGAACCCAAGATCACGGTTGAGGCCGTCTTCATGGGTACAGAACTTGGCTATCAGTTTCTGCTCAGCGATTCTGTGTTGTTGTGCATTCAGGGCCGCCTTGGAGGACGCTTACCTGAAGATTGGAGGCTAAATGTTCTTAATTGCTGAAGTGTTCCTCAACTGGGAGGGAACATTCCTGTCTGGTGATTGTTGTACAGTGTCCATTCATCTGTTGTCGTAGCCTGTGCATTGCCTTACCTCGGGGTATCCTTTCCTTCAGTGTATGAGGTAGACAATATTGGCTGAGTCACAGGAGTATGTACCATGTAGGTGGGTGGGTGGTGCTCCCACATGTGATGGTAGCATCCATATCGAAGATCTGGCACGTCTAGTAGAGGTTGTCGTGGCAGGGCTGTACAAACCTGCTTCTGGTAACTATGTTTAGGTTCCACCATGGCCACTTAGCCTCTGAACTCATTACAGCCTTCATCCAATTATGGGCAATAAAGCTGAACTCGGGGTGTTTAAGAGTGACTGCCCTTGACATCAATGCAGCATTTGACAAAGTATGGCATCAAGGAGCCCTACAAAACCTGAAGTCAGATGGGAAACAGGGCAAAAAAGTTCTCTGCTAGTTGGGATCATATCTAGCAAATAGGAAGATGGCTGTGGCTGCTGCAAGTTAATTATCTTAGCCACAGGACATTATGGGGGTATCTTTCAGGATAGCTTGGTACGCTCAACCAACTTCAGCTGCTTTAATGACATCCCCTCGGTCATAAATGCTCAGAAGTGGGGTTATTAGTGAGGATTGCATAATGTTCAGCATCAATTGCTACTGTAGGTACTGAAGCTGTCTGTTCATGTACAGCAAGTTACAGACATCATCAGGCTTGGGATGATAGGTGGCAAGTAGAATTTGCGCCACACAAGTGCTGTGCAATGGCAAATTCCAACAAGACCGAATCTATCCATTGCTATTTGATATTCATGGCATTAATAGTGTGGGATTCAGTAATGTTTAACAGACTAGAAAATGAACTAGGCCAGCTATATATAATCTGTGGTTACAAGGCCAGATCAGAGGCTGGGAATTCTGTGGCAAGTAAACTTACTTCCTGATGCCTGTTCACATCTACAATGCACAAGTCCAGTATATGATGGAACAGTCCACTTGCCTGGATGAATCCAGCTCTAACACCACAAAAGCTGGACACTATCCAAGACAAACCAGTCCACTTGACTGGCACCCAATCCATCTTCTTCACCACAAAAACGTCTCTAGCAGTGCGTAACTTCTAAAAATGGATGTCTGCTCCTTTCAAACCTGCAATTTGTACCACCTAGAAACATCCCCCCAATGCATTGGCTTCAGTGGTTAAAGGAGGCAACACCACCACCTTATCCAGGGCAATTAGAGATAGGGAATAAATACTAGACTACTGAGCAACACCCACATCCCATAAATTAATTAAAAATAACATTTTTGAGTTCAATAAATCAAGTTCCTGACGCGGTTTTAGTTTTTTTTCCAAAAACTGTTTTGTTCCTATTTTCTAAATCTTAATTTTGTACTAGCTGTTTCCAATAGTGTGATGTTCAATTTATGTGCATTTACCTGGTCTTTTATAAATTTCAATCTTGGATGAATTGCAAGTTTTCCTAATTTTATTTTGTATTTTTTCCCTACAAAAATACTTCACTTCCTCCTCTTCATGCTGATCTTATGTTGGCTCGGATTTTTTTTTTTGCAACATAGATGTCTAACCAGAATAATCTGTCCTAAAGCTTGCACCTCCCACAGGATCAACCTATTTACCTTCCAGGTGACCTGAAGATTTAGAACTACACCATCTTAACATTGATTGCTGTATGTTAAATCACTTCCATCCTAGAGATTTAACAATGTCAGAATATCAGAAACAATCATTGAAGTCCCCTACGACACAGGTCTGTTTCCAGCATCTTATTTCAAATACTAGGTGTATTGTTATTGTAGTTCTGCAATTTTATGGTTTATCCATCACCTGCCTTTGATGGAGAACCAATTCTTGCCTGTTCTTTCCTTCTGCTGCATGATCTGTCTGGCTGAGGTCTCATTTCCCACTCA